AAACTAAGGAGGAATAGTCACGTCTCTGATACACTTGCTTCTAGAAAAGACGCTGTTTCAGCAAGTACCTGTCAAGAGTTTTATGAATGTTCAGTAGTTGTTCCAAAGGAGCACAGTCTATCAAACTTTTCTCCTAAAGGTTCACACAAGCCCTGCTGCTCTCACCTAGATGGCAGCAATAAGATAATCAATTCAGTGGATCATCACATCAATCAGAGCAGACTGGATAAAATTTTGAGATTAATTTGGCTTAATAGAGCCATTAATTATCCCAGCTCAAGCAAGCTGATGGGAAGAAAAAGTTCTCATTTGGAAATACACAAAATGCACTTGAGTACCTGGGTGGCTCAAAAATCTTTACCCTCATACTCAAGGAAGTCCAGCATTGAGGGTTTAAAATTATTTCTTAACTTCTATTAGAAGTGATTAACTTTGACCATAAAAACTAAGCAGTAAGAAGGGAAAAACATTTTTCATTTCAGTCCATAACAAAAGGGTAATCCTCACTTAAAAGCATGCCTTTAAGTTCATGAGCCAATCTCGTAACTATGAGGTATTGATAGTTACACAGACAGATATAACTGACTTTCCTTTTATAACCAACAATCCTCAACAAAGCAAGACTCTCGCAAGCAAGTATTCTGCTGGGCTGATGAAAGGATGTGTCAGAAAAAACTTTGGGTCTCATCAGACTAAGGTAAAACATATCTCAAAAGATGACACATCCTTAACACTCCAAGAAAACAACAAAACAGAACTAGAAATGCCTTGGCCAACAGTCTCGCTGGCTGAATCCTTTTCTTATGCACAAGAGTAAAGTAAAATTTTAAATAATTCTGTCTGGCAAGAGTTTTTATATTTAAACCTACACATAAACACACAAGAAGGGATTTCCCACAACAGAAACGGTAGCAGCTGTCTCCAAGGGTCAGTCTCTACCTACTGGAATGATGAATAGAAGAATCATGAATAAAAGACCAGGTGATGCTGACTGGAGATTTAAATGCAAAAGGCATCATCGTAGATTAGATTTTACTGTCTCAATTTCAACATGCACAAAACGGCTTAAGACAATAAAAATGACTACGCATTTTCTTGTGCATTTTAATCACAAAATAAAATACGAATCAGCACAGGTACCAATTAAAAAAAAAAAAAGTAAGATGGAAAGTCTCTTTTTAAACAGTCTCTTAATGTGCTTGGTTAGACTGTACAATAACTTACTATATTAATTATTTATAAACTGTTCTTTTTTGCTTTGTTTTTTTGACGTTATTTAAATATAAATTAATGGAAGCTGATTGCCATACATTTAGAATATCAAATGGTCCCTGATTTCACCATGAATTTGGGCACATGCTTAATTTTAAGCATTTGACTAGACCTGTAGTTAATTAAATTGGAGCTAATTGTGATCCAATTATGAATCCCCTGTAATTATTGCTTGAAATACTGCTGGATTTCTATTAAAGGTAAAAGAAAATATTTCTGATCTGTACGAATACTTGAAGACTATTAAAACTGTTACCTTTGACTTGTTTTCTTTACTTTGCAAGATATATATTCATAAGCTTTTCCACAGCATTCATCAGTGCAGTATTTCTGCTCTCTGCACAACAGAGGTGTGGGCAGTGCAACTGCAGAAGGCAACCTGAGCATCAGTGGGTGATAGAGAGGGAACTGAAGGAAAGGAAGAAAAAGCCTCAGCTGTTGAACTCTAATACGAACTTGCTCTTTTCCCAGAGCCACTTTCCAACATGACTATGTTCTGTTTGTTGGCTTTTCCTTTACATCTTTACAAATAAATGTGTCTATTACGTTCCCAGGAACAACACTTTAACGTTTCAGTTGCAGGTATACCTTCACAACTTCATTTACAGTGTTTAGCATGTAGGAAATTAAAAACCCAACCAACTAGTGATGGATTGACGGGCATTTTTTTAATGGTCCAAATTAAATGTTTCTGCGAATCTATATTTATTTGAAATAAGATTCTTGAGTGAGTGTCTGAGGAAATTTGTATGATGCCTTGTGTTTTATAAATGGCATAAAAATGAGTCAGACTGTTAAGGCTTGCTATTGTACTAATATTTGAAAACACCCAGGTATTTTCTAGGTTTACTAGAACTTTCTGCAACGAATAAAAGGTGTAAGTTACCCTCACAAAACAAAATAGCACACAGAAGATTCATATACCAATAGTTCTGATATATTGTTTTTCCTCTTCCAACTCAGTGGCATTGATCGTCATCTCTAATACCATCCCATGAGACTTGTGCTGGGTCACAGTAGAGTAAAAATGGAGAAAGGGGGAGTAAGAGGCAGCAGCAATTTCTGCAAAAATGTTAAGAATTACTAATATAATTTTAGGATAAAACTAATAATCCCCCCCCCCCAAATTTTGATGCCTACTTATTTCTATTTTGTTCTCGTCAATCACTGGATGGAAACCTTTCTATAGTTCAAGTCAACCTAATCAAACACATATTCCAACTATTCTCCCCTGACATGAACCTATGTTTAAACATCAAACTTCTGAATCATCTGCTACTAAAGCTGACCTCAACCCACAGCTAGCACTGAGCATGCTGGCAGCCCATCCCTCGGTGGGCACCTACATGCTTCAGTTAAGGCACACGCTTCCATGCTTTACTGTATACAGAAGTGTTTGCCCAAAATCACAGTGGCAGTCAGATGAACGCATGTGATCAAAGCTCAAGAGTCCTGACTTCTGCTTGTGGTTTGTAACCACTAGACGTTCTCCACTCCAATACATACAGGATACGATCTCTCCACAAAGTCAATGGGAGTTTGGTCGTCAACTTTCATGAGATCAGGAATTGACCCATAATGTTTTATAAAACAACAAAAAGGAATGTATTTATGGTTTTATTATTACCCCTAATAAGGAAATAAGGAGAAAGAAAACACAGTACATGGTCTAGTCTATACGCACATGTGTTACTTCTATTAATATCGATGGGATTTAGAAGTACATATGGAGAGGATAAGGTATATCCCTATGTGTTCAGCCATATGCTTGAGGAAGCTCCCCAAATGCTAGTAAATACGATCATGCTTTCTAACATACTATGGATTTATTTGAACAATGTTAAATCTCTAAGCCCTACTTTCCAGTCCATTAAAGCCTCAAATAATTGTTTATTTCCAGTTTAAAGTTACTCTCTTTTTTAGCCATTAGAAGGCTGCCTGTAACCACATTTCCACAATATTCAGGGAATTGGAGAATTGATAATAACTCTCCCATTATCCGAAGGGATACCTCTCCGGAAAGAGAAATACTCGGGATGAACTATATTTTAGTGAGGAATTCTTTCCAGAAGATTTTGGGACAGGCCCAAAATGTGTAGCTGAAAGGTCTGGAATGCTACTTACACAACAAACATGTGTTCGTGCTGTAGACCTCTGACAACTACATTCCTTCTGCAGGCCAAAGGCATTGAAAGCTAGTCATTCTTCTGGACAGACTTGTTCTCATTTCCTTTTTGTTTTTAAAGGTTTGAACACAGGACAAGGGTCTGACCCACTAGGCACAAGAGGGTTATTCTGGATTTCCCTTATGGAAGAAGACATCAGAATTCATCCCATGATTTATGATGTGGTGCAAGTTGTCTTGGAATGAGATAGCCGAAGTATTTATGGAATATCCAATGCCTGTTACCAAATTATGCTCTTATGTTCACGCAACTGATCATTTTATTTGGCTTATCTCTTACCTCCTTTCAGTTGAGACTTGGTAACTGACTTTATGAACACATTTGACTATAGTTTTATCCATTAAAAAGATTATTGGGATGGTTTACTAGATTAACTGTTTCAACTAGTGTTGTAGCTACAAATATAAAACAATAGTCATGGAGGCATAGTCATGACATTCATGGTGCCCTTACCACCTTACATGCAAATGTAGCACAGAACCAAAAGCCAGGTTTATCTATAGCTGGCTGCCAAAAAACACCTTCTTCGCTTACTTGACATAACCCTTTCGATGCCAAGGCGATATTGCTGTTTACTTTTTTTAATATCATCCAGAACAAAAGTTTATATTGTGGTATTACGATTTCATTTTCTTGCAGTTTCTTTTTGACCGTAAACCAGATTTGAGAGCTCAGCTTTTATTTTACCTTTTAAAGCTCAACTTAAGATAAAAATCCCAAATCAGACTTTTTCCTACTGAAATACTTCTTACTTTGTAATATAGAAAAACAAAACAAACAGTCATCATCTTTCTAAACTACATCAATGAATGGTGAAGCCAAATCCGGTTTCCCAGCAAGGAATTATTAAAAGACAGAAATAGTCCAATGACCACAGGAAACCTTTAAGCACCAAAATGGGGACAAAAGTCTTCTGGGGAAAAGACAATATTTCCTACATGGTCATTCATGTCTCCTTGTAATACAATACAGGGGTATTGTTTGTTTGTCTGCTTAAGTAGATGCACAGAATAAAATTAGAAACAAACCCTGACTATGAAAACATTTCAAAAACTAGATGCAGGCACAGGCATTGCAATACCTGCCATCACAACTATGCTGCGATGCTTCTTTCGAATGCATAACCAGCTAGACCTTTGATCGTTAATATATACATCATTCTTGCCTTATTATAATAAAGGCCACCAACCGCAGGTCATATTGCATCTTGCTGCAATCTTAATATTGGTCATAAAATTTGTTAAAACAATAGGAGAAATACTCTAAAATAGATCTACTTTACAGTCAGCCCCCTCCCCCAAGGAATTCAGTCAAGGAATGTAAACCTAAAGATTTATTTTTCTGTTTAGGTCATGCCTGGGGTAGACTGCTGTGTTACTAAATTCCCTAGTCTGAAATCAAGAGAAAGACAAAGTTAACATGCCTCAATAGGCAAAAACATCTTGAGATAGCCCTCTGCGGACCGTGACCTGAAGTTACAGCAATAAGCATTATCCCCACCATGAGGACGATTCAGAAAAAGGCACGTGGCCCACAGCTTACCTCAACGTAGTCCCTGGCATGGCCCCAGTCTCTCTTAGCATCCAGATTGCCCAGGCTGAAACAATCCAGCTGTCCGAGATGAATCTTTGCTACCGATCGGCTAATTTTTCGAGTAACAAAGTTCGCCCCTGGAATAGAAATAAAAGGCAGTATCAGCATAGTCACAGTGGCAGATAACTGGCCACAAGAAACACCTTGCATAGGTCAGCACATGGTACTTTCAGTCTTCATTCACTCCCCTCACACCACCTAGACCCACGCCATCTTTTATCGTCTGAGTAGGCTAAGCAGCTTCCAGTGCAAGTGTCACATTAGCTGCACTTTCACAGCAAACATCTTTCTTTGTGGGACTTCTGAAGCATTCCTAATTTGCTGCCTCAGTATTCAGTCCAGGCATAAAGCCAAAGAAAATCATTTGGAATGTCAGTTCTTAAACACAAAATGCAAAAGGTTACATAAAGAAGGCAGACATCTTAGACCACCCTCAAGTTTTTTGTTGCCGTTTCTTTTTTCTTTTTTAATTTTTTTTCTAAGGAATGCATATATCTAAATAAATTAGTTTATTAATAAAAAAAAAAAATTGAGACTACCTAAATAGTACATATTCTCCAAAGAACTGTAATGGTTAAATGCATTATACTTTTCTAGTTATTTGGGATTCTTTGTCCCCCAGGTTCAGTGAGATCATGAAATTGTGATTTTAACTTTATCAGTTGAAGGCTGTACATTATTTTATCATATTTCTGTTTTTTTTTTTCACTGTATTGCTTTGGAAAATTTGTGTACCCATTTCTGCTCCCTGTGGAGTTGCTTTAAATAATATTTATTTCTAGTTATTTTCATATCTTGATTTTTAGATTATGACTGCTGTGTTTCTAAAATGTGGTCAACAGTCTCCTCAAAAGCAGAGGGATTTGAATTCAGACCACGAGTTCAAGCTAAACAAGCCCAATGGCATTTGTACACTAATGGGCCACAAAAATTAAAATTACATGCCTTTTTAATAGCTAAAACAAAAAAATGATTGAGTGGTGACAGATGATACCCTCATCCAAATGGGAAACAGGAAAGTTAAAGAAAATGACTGCATTTGTAAAATGCTCTAGCAAATTTCAAAAGTCCTAAGTTGTGCAGCTTGTACATTCAATGCATAGATGTAGTTTTTTTCATTACAGAACTCCGCTCTTGAGATACGCATCTCAATATTTTCTGTTTCCTGTCAAACAAATGATAGGCTGCTGCAAAATTATTAAATAATGTGAAATGTCTTTTTCAGACTACTAATTTTTCCTGTGAAGTCGAGAGCACTACAGTACCTTTGTGTGTCATTTGACTCTGCCAAAAGTAAAAAACCAAAGAGCGTACCTATAAGAATCATGTGGAATGAAGCAATTAAATAATTCAGAGCTTACCACAGGATTAAGATAGCATTTTAATCTTCTGTCAACTGCTGAACTAGTTGGAATTCCAGTTATGAGCCATTTAGAATATATCATCAGTTTGCGCTTGTTTTTCAAAGGATGAAAATCATATAATTTCCATATTCCCTGAACAAGTGTTCATGTATAAAGGAAGCTTACAAAATAGTGTAATTTGCAAAATTTCAGAAATTAAACATACTGGGGAGTCTTTTGTATAGCAATGTTCCTCAAAAATTGGACAAATGAGTCAACTGCAGGATGAAAGCCCAAGCTCTTCTTCCAGACTGCACCATGCATACTCAACAGGAGAAACATGATTATCCCAAAGACAAACGAGCGCAAACCACAGGACCGACACTGTGACTCTGCTATTGCGATTTCTGAGAGCAAAGTACTGTGGTTCCCCTGTTCCTGGCTGGACGAGCTTGCAGTGGGAGCGGAGTTCTGGCTTAACAAAAACTAGTGACAGAGTCCCTTTGGCTTAGTCAGGCTGGCACTTCTCCAAAGATTATTTCCATTTTTTACGTTACCAAAGTGCTTTGAGATCTTCACACAGATTATTACTAATTTATTAAAAATAGGTTCAAACTATTACACAAACTTATTAGGATTAGCTCTAAAACTTCCTAACCTTCTGCACTGAAATAATTTCAGTTAGCATTATTATTCAGTAAATAACAGTTGAAGGAGAAGCTTTTTTTCTAGGGTGTATATGGCTTTATGTTCCAGACTGCAACTGAGTAATAAGCAAAACTGGCCGCTTTCAACGCCACATTCCCATTTGCAGTAAAAGCAGTGAGAGTTCTAGTCATCATCTGCAGTAAAGCAAGTTTTACTGTCAACCTACATGACTAATGAACATCAGCTTCCATTTTGGAGCAACCACTTCCTCAGCATTAAAAAAAAAAGCGTATTACGTTGTGTGTGTGAGGGAGAGAGAGAACTTTTATGCTATCAACTTAACCTGAAATATATGAAAGATACTGCACAAGAAGAAGCAGATTCGTCTAGCGCAACACAGCAAATACTAGTAACGCTGTCTTCTTGCAGAGTCACTGATAACTGGAGAGAAACAACCTTCAAAGATCTTCTCCAAGCAAAATCAGAATATACCTCAAAAGGCTGAAATGAAGAATTAAAGAGCACCACAGTGAAAAATGAAAACCTTTATTTTCCAGAAATATTCCAGTAAGGGTTCAACAAAATAAAACCAACCCTCTTCTTGGAAGTGCCTCAGCATTAAAGCTGTGGAAGAAAACTATGCTACTCTTCATTCTGAGAAATGCGATTAGAATTTATTTTCATGCAACCAAGGACTGAATGGCACATTTCAGAAGCATTTAAATGATATGGTTCATAAATAATGTTTAAATACCGATTCTCTTCAAACATAGTATCTTAAAATATCCCATTACAGTATACGTTTGATCTCATGCCATTAAACGCACATCATAACTAGAATTTAAACTGATGCCCACTGGAGTCATACAAAATAGTTAAGGCTATGTCAGCATTTCCATTATAAAGCCCTGTCCTAGGGGTTTGCAATCGGGCTATAAAATCTTGCTTTGGCCTGAAACTTGGCAGACGTAATGTCTCTTTCCTCAGGAATGATTCTATCTGAAAGGTCTACGCGGAGTGCTACAGATATCTTTATATAACTGAATACAAAGTACCTTTTGAGACACAGAAATGGTTAGCTTCCTTCTTCCTCAGGAGGTATTGAGGACTTGCTAATGTCGAACGTACAAGAGCATTTTTCTCCATAGAATGGCCAGTTAGTGCCAGGAAGAATATCAACAGAACTGCTGCTGTGTTAACCACTTCACCCTTTATGTTGATTTTCATCGGATCAAGATGATGCAGCAGCTAAAATGCCACCAGCTATCACAGCTGAATAAGGCCTACTTTATTATGCTACTAACATTACTAATTCACATGGAAACATGGTGGTGGTAGCAACGGAAACTAGCTTAGATTGGTGGGGAAGAGAGATGTCCAAGTCCCACACGTGTCTCCTGGCTTTGTACTGCTTCCATAGTTCAGAGAGGTTTTGTAAAACACACCTCACACTGCTCACACCCAGTATGAATGAACGTGGAGTGTTCAAAACTCTATTAAGTGTGTGATGTATTTTGACTCATTTGAACACCTGTTCAAAATGTGTGAGGGTGGCACTGTTCTGGAAGCTCACTATCCTACAGTAACCAAGAGAAGAGTCATTCTTGCTTCCTCGGTAGGGCCAAGCATGCTGGGCTAACTGCCTTGCATAGTTATCTATGCAACAAATACATCCAAACCATGATGGGCCACATTATGCTCTGGTTTGTGTCGCTACTGACAGCACTGGAATTGCTACACCGCAACAGCAGACATTGCAAAGGATGCTTTGGTGTGTCTGCACATTTCAGCAGTTCCAAACAGCCTTGGTTGAGCAGTGCCTGACAAGTTTTTTCATTTTAAAAGAGGCCTTAAACATGAGTTTTCATGATATTAACAGCTCTTTCAGAAACCCTGGGCATTAGCTTAGATTTGTTTTCAAAACCCAAGCCCTCCCTCTGAGATCGTTAGCATTCCAACAGGAACCATAAGGTCTGATTTACAAACCCGATTTATCCTAGATACGATTTTAAGCAAGGATTCCTCATCAAGCAGACCTGATCTGTAAAACATATAACTTGTCAGCAAACCACTATAGGAACAATACTACAATAAAAAGAAATAGCAGAGGTATAATGCAATAGCTTCGGCTCTCCAGCTCAGGCCGATCGCCCGCTCATGGTGGAAAACAGCTCGGGCAGCTCATCCCTCCAAGAAGGATGCTGCCTACATCTGGCAAAGATACAGTTTTGAAAGCTGGACACATCTCTCATTAACACATATTTAAAATTATTGCTTTAGGAAGCATGCGTTCAATGCACCTACAGTTCCAAAGCTGGATGTCCCAAGAAAAAAAAAAAATCTGGGTCTCTGCATCAGTACCCCATTCCTTTTATCAACACTGGGGTTTCACCCTTTGTGTATCATCAGGAAACTGGCTGTTTGAAGTAGGTGTTTTTTTCTAGAATCTGTGGTTTATAAGAGGCAGCCAAATGGATGAAGCAGCTTTAAGAGCCACTATTATAGTAACTATTTCTTTTCAACAACCTTCATTTTCCAAGCTCTCAAGGCTACATACAAAACTCAACAGATGACAAAATTGTGGCCTTAGGAAGACTGCTGTCCCTGTATAACACTAGTTGTTTCATGCATAAGAAAATCCATCATTAATCTGAGTAGTATCATAGAATAACAGTCAATCTGATAGCATTTAATAGCAATACTTAACTATCAGCTGAGATGCAGTCCTAGCACAGCCTATCAAGTTGCCATAACATCTTTTTCTCCGTTTTGCATAAAATATGATAAAAAGGTTTCTGTCTCTGAAGATGCTGGCACAAGAAAAAGGGTGGGTTGTTTTTTTTTTTTTTCCTCCAAGTTTCTACAGTTCTGGCATAGATTCTAGTGGAAGCCTAACATGTTCAAACACATTGTGTACCCAGTGCTTCTACTAACCCAAAGGAACATATTTCTTTTAACATATATATGTTGTAAATGATACATTTAATGAGATCATTAAAATGTTTTGATTGCCTGAAAATCCACTGCTCATAATTTCCATTCTATGAGAAGCTTTTCCATTTTTGTAACAAGCTGAAATTAAAAAA